TCATATTCGTACAGAATTTACATGTAAAGTAATAACCTGGATTATGTCATGTAACACACTGTTGTTGCACATGACGAAAGAACCATTTCTGTATATTTTCGCTTCGTTTCCTTCAGAAATTCCTCAGAGTTTCGTCAAGAGCTAATTAAATATGTATACGAGTTCCTGTAGTGATATTATTTCATATAATTACATGATTAAAGCAATAATAAATGCTGAAGAGTTTGAGCATTTTAATGACTGGCAACTTTAGTAGCCCACCGATCTAAATAGGCCGCCGTTATTTTCTCAAGAAACCATACATGCAGCGGGACTCGAACCCAGAACCCACTGGTTGTCAATCGATTGTAGTAGGTCAAATAAACTGCATCATCTTTAAAGCAAAGTAGTTTTATGAAAAAAGAAGATAAATAATCGAATCAAAAGGCATAAAAGTGGTCGCTTCGTTTAACTTGTGAATAAAAAATAATAACACCAGAATGAAACACATTTCGGCAGAGAGAGAGGGAGAGAATGATCAAACCTGTTAGATTTTTTTTGGAATCCATTCGATTAGCTTTTTTTGACTAAATATATATTGTTTTTAAATGACTGAAAAGTACAAAAATTTATCACAGTTATTTCATCGATTCTATTCCTTTTTTCTTTTGTAAAACAAAACTTTATCTGTAGGACATTGTCAAATCTGTCATCATTATTCCTCTTTTTCTCGTTGTTCTTTTTCCGCGTTGTTTTACATAATCAGGAAATATTGTACTTTACTGAAGAAGACAAAATTACGGATAAATACCGATTTGGCATTATTTTCTCGTTTCATTGTATTGTTTCCTTGGGTTCCGAGTGGTACAATACACCTTCAGCAGCACTGCTCCATATTGTTCTATTGTCTACGATCCTTTTTTTCCTAGTCCCACAATTTCTCACAGTCTCTTATGCCTCCTTTAAATCGGAATGATGTCCACACTCATCGTGTTCGAACTAGATTCCACTCGAACGATTGCCTAGAGTGGAGCGTGATGTCTATCTTTACTTTCTTCTACACCTTTTTTTATCAATAGGTTCTTGATTAGTTCCTTCTCAGAGTTCTTTTTTGGTAATCGTTCTTAAAAGTTCATCCGATCTTCGATATTGAGTGAAAGCAGCTGTTGATGAAGGTTTGTAGCTGACTGTTGGAAATGCTTTCTGACCCATATAGAAGAGCTTACAGACTGACTGAACATTGGGGTTGAAAATCTAAGTCTAAAGGTTTTGAAAGTGATTTCAGAGTGATGAATGTCTGACTTCGCGTTCCGATTCTCATTTTGGACATCCTCATCCATGCTGTCGCCTGTTGTTGAAACTATGCTTCTTGGATAAGTGAATGAAGGGACCCCTTCCACATTTCTTCCATTGATGGTGATTGATGCTGGTTATTTTTGTTAGTTGGTTGGTTATCTTCATCACCTCCATCCTCCCTGCCTTCGCTGCCTTCCAACCTCTTCTGCCAGTTTCTTGGTTTTCACCTGTAAGTCTTCAAGTTTATGTGACGTCCAGATCTTCTAGAGTCTTCTTCTCGGTCTGAGGCATTCCTGACGTATCGCTCCCAACAGTCCCTCTAAAATCTGCAACAAGTCCTATCAATTCTTTCCCAGTTGATTTGAGCAAGACATGTAATAGAAGGTAAAAGACTGTCTAGGTTGAGTCATAAAAATGTTAAGGTAAAATAATTTCAGACTATTTGTGATGTGATTTGAAATCATTCTCAGATGCCAGAGATGCACTGACTCTTTATGATCCCCCGTATCCAATAAATTATCATATTCTTCCATGTGAACCATTCTTCCTTCTTCACATTTCTGCTTATTACAGTTCTCTTGAATATCTTTTCTCCACTCTTATGCGTTATATGCAGCGTGTGTGTGTGTTTGTGTTAACGCTGAACTGCTCTACTTCCAACCCTGAAACTCATTCATTCAGTCTATCATCTAATATTATTTGAATAAGTGTACAAAGCCGGTGAGATCTCTCAACTAGTAGTAACCACATCGCAAATTAACCGACACAATTCACTCAATATTATTAAGAATTGTAAACTGACTATTTACAATTAGTGAGCCTGAATATCTCAGTGATGATGACGATGATAGAGCCTTTGACTGTAGTACCGGGGAACATTTGAGAGAATCTCACAGTTACAAATATACATACACCTTGCTATCAGGTAGCCAGTAAACACGAAATCTCAGTCTACAGAAGCTCGTACCAGCTGCCTGCAGCTATTTAACATTCAAGTATCGGCTTGCAGGGATTTGATTTAATTGATTGGTTACAGGATTTTATCATGAGCTGATATCGGTAAGGGAGAACCAGTGGAAAACCTGGGAATACTGCCAGACAACTGTTTCGTTGTGACCAGTAGAGTACTCGCCATCGATGACATTGGCTAGTGGTCGCGTTATATCATCAATTGGCAGGATTCAGAATTCATGCATTGGCTGGCCATTGGATCGGGTCGTAGTGGCTTTATGGTCTACCAGCTAGTTTGACTTGTAGCCAGAAGGTCCTAGTTTCGAACCTTGTCAGTGGGTGCGTACTGATGAAGAGTCCGCAGCACTAGGCCAACGAAATAGCTGTCTGGCAGTACTCCCTGTGACTGTTTTCCAACGGTGCTTTAACCGATATCAGCAGCTTATGATTAAATGGAATTATTATTTGTTTTATCACTATTATTATTATGATTATTATATCGATTATGATAATTCCATGAAATGAATAAAACCTTTTAAAAAAAATTCGAATTTAGTACTTTTGGTATTTTTTTGCATGTACTACAGTGCGGGGCATATACAATAAGGATATTTATTGATGAGAATGACCTTGTTACTGCTGGTATTAAAATTTATCTTGTTTGCACACACACACACATGCCTTTTTCTGTTAAATCAAATCGGTGTTGTTATTGTTGTGGTTGTGCTTGTCGATTATAGCTATACAGATATTTCATAAGTTTTACTACATAAATAAAATTCTTTATAGATGTTTATATACATATATATACACCATTTTTTGAATATATGATAAATTTCCGTTTTTAAATAGCCTAAGTTCATTTAATTTAGTACAAGGTGGTATTTTATTTCGGGGTTTTGTTTTGTTCGGACAAAATTATGTAATGTACCATTAATACTGTGGTGAGAGCAGGCTGCTAGCCAATTGGTAGACATTAATTTACGTCAATGTCTAGGTCACTAATATTGGCCGTGAGAAATTATTAACAAGGCTGATGCAACAACCAATCACAGCAGATTTAACTTGGGCAAATAAGATTCGCAGACATGTGGCTTGACTTTCCGAGAAATCAGAAACAACCAATCAGAAGACTGTGTCTGTCTGTTTGAATAAGCTATAATAATGTACATGAAAAATATATAGATACGTGCTGATTTCCGTAATAAAAGTATCTGTTTCCGGCCCTTGTCTTCTGTTGTTACACTACTACTACTAATAATAATAATAATATTACAGAAAGTCATCTGAAGTTCTAGTGAGAAGTCGTAACCATTGAGGTTCACCAAGTTAGTAGGTAATAAGAGATCATTTAGGCTTACATGACAGTGGATGGTGAATTCGTAGAAGTTGGAATTCATGGGATGGCCATTGGATCCTAGTGTGTCGGGTTGGGACCTCTTTGGTGGCTGAGTATTGATGAAGTTTAGCAAGTTTGGATGAAACAGCTCTCCTGTAATGTTTTTCCAGGTTTCCTAATGCTTCTCTAACTGATGTCAACTCGTGATCGAATTCCTTGAAGTCAACACCTAATAAATCAGCTGGGTTTGTGAATAATAAGTATTTATCTCAACTTAATGAGGCATATGCTAAGTCACTCATTTTTATGCCTTACTGGCTGTGGGACTCAGTTCTCAGACAAATGCCTTCTGAGTTGGAATATCCCTCTCCACCTGCGCTAATCTCAGTAGTATCATCTACCCTCACACTCACACATTCACAGGGACTGAAATAAACCGATACAATCGTATTATGATATCAGGTTTTACCACAGCTATAGATGCACTGAAAACCTTGGGCCGCTCGATACCCTTTTTGTCCCACTTTGTGATTCCTGAGTAGTATGTACCCATGACCATTCTGACTAGTGAACTTATGACCTCAAAGTTACAAGGTGTGCTAGTTGACTCCTCATTCTCCATTAACACAACCAATGCCAGCTAACATCATCGGTGAATATTTGTCCTCATAGCCGTTCTAATGAACTATCAGACTGAACATTGGATTCCATCTCAGTCTTCAAACGTTCAACGAGTACACCTTGTTACCTGAAGCTTCTAGATTCAATCGTTTTTGTTCAGAGTTGGAAATGCATCCTGCTAAAGAGGTCAAGACTAGAAGGTAACGACTATCTAGTACTCCTTGATGTTTAATAGTAGTTCTCTTACTGATTTCAATCCGTTACCAGACTTGAAACCATTCTGATCTCTTCAAACCAACACTTGAAAATGTACTTTATTACCTTAAATATTTCTGAAACCTGTTTTAATCGGATATTTGTCTTCATTCCCGACCTACTGGTGAACCATACTAGTCACGACTTCTCCCTAGAACTCCTGTCGGTTTTGAGGACAAATACTTGCCACCGATGACATTAACTGGTGCCAGTTGCAATAAAATCACTAATTGGTATAAGTTAGAATTTGTGAACCATTGAGTTGGGTGATTGAATGCTCTACAATCTTGACTTATAACAAGAAGGCCCTGCGTTCGAACCCCTGTGGTGGGTGCATACTGCTATAATAAAGATTCCCAAATTAAGGTGGGAGGGGGGGGAGTTGGCAAAACAGCTATCCAGAACTCTCTGTTGATTTTCAATTGTTCTCTAACTCATATCAACCCATCGTCAAACTTGAAATATATGTGTATATATACATCATATCTCTACAAACTAACTCTTGAATGCTTCAACCAATCAACCTCCTGATTTCCTTCCTTCTTTCTTTTTTCTCTAGGTATTTGCCCTAATTTTCGCTATCCTACTATGCTGTTTAGTACAACAACGTAATATAGTCCAGTACACTGAAGTACAAGTGGAAGCTTGAAGAAGATAAAGTTGAAATGCTGAAAATTAGAAGCCCCAACAAAAGAGGAATAAATTAATTAAGTCAGTTAATGACAACAATAAAGTTAATTAGTTAGTTAGTTATCTGTGAAAAATGTATATCTTTCCATCTATCTATCTATCTATCCACCTATGCCTATTGAGTTTGTCTCCTGTTCTTTCTGCCCATCTTTCTTTTTCTCACCATCGCCTTTTTTCTGTCTCGTGACTATTCTACACTGTTGATATATATCCTTTCCTGTGAGTCCAACTCCTTTTTATCTTATAAGCATATACATAAAATAATATTAGGATGTAGAATTGAAATTTGAAATTCATTCCATCATTTCAGTAGTCATTCTGTTATTTTAGAAAAAAAAATCAACAACTACAACAACAGTAACATTTATAAACTGACAAAGTTATGAAAAATAGTCAACTCAATTCGAGTCATTCATTAGACTTATTCTGTGTAAAATATATACATACATATACATATACGCACATCAATAAACTTCACTGTCTCCAATCACCTCTTCTCTTCGCCATGCTACGCTATACTTCACTTCCCTTTCCTTATCTCTCCTTTCTTCATCTCATTGTTTCTCACATTTGTAAAGAGCGGATATTTTGTTTGTCTTCTTAGGCATTCCTCCTCAATCACTCAATCGACTAACAAATGAGAATACGTACACATATATCGATATATATTAATATTATTATTATTATGATTTAATTAAAGTGTTTTGCGCACCGTTTTTACACTTTATTTATTTTTTATTTCCTTCACCGCCGCTGTCACTCTCCCACTCTATGGCGTTTCTCTCTTCTACTTGTGTTAACACCTTAAAACTAACTAACTTACTCCTCTCTGAAATGTCTCTCTTTTTTTCATATTTTTTTTCTGTATGTTTTTTATTATTACTTTTGGCGTCTAATTATCAGTGAACATGCACGGAAATCTATTCAATGCATAATATGACTAGTTTTATTATTATTATTATTATTACTAATGCCACTCTTACTATTTTGAATGTTCCTCTTATAATTTTATCCCATCCGACTTCATTTCTGACTTTCTTTTTTAACGATAATACACCAATCATTTGTATGTATATATATATATATAGTTTTGAGCATTTCATTTTGTTGTCGGCCAGCCCTCCAGCCCCCAAGCCGCCATCTGGCCTACACTTCCCGACTCAGTTATCCTCATCTATTTTTATCATGTCATTTTCATATACAAGGTTGTTTCCTCTTTTTATTTTCTCATTTTTAGCCTTCTGCCTTCTTTAGTTTGTTCCACTTCCTTGTGTAAAGCATCTCTACATATATATATATATATATATGTTGTGTGTGTGTGCGGAAGTGTGTATTTGGTTACGTTATCTATCTGCTCACGCTGTGATTTTATCTAACCTAATTAAAAACGGGACAATGAATGCATTTCTTTGAGGCTAATACTTTCTAATCAATAGAAGGGGATAATCATGATATGAGATAACCATCATCGTCATCATTTATCAGCTGATCTATTTTCCTCTTTTTGTTTCTTCTTTTAGTGGTGGTGGTGGTGATGGTGGTGGTTGATTTCTTTTTTTCTATCAGAAATACACGCAGTGTTTATCTTTTTCTAATCTAATAATTATCATTATTGTTAGTAGTAATATTAGTAGTAGTATTATTATCCTACTTCTTTTTTCTTTACTTTGATATACAAGATGGTACAATACAAAGTACAAGCGATATGAGACAAAATAAAAGTAATGAACAAAATGGATTTTATTCCTCTTTCTATCCTGATTACTTTCTTTTATGTTGTTGTGCAATATATATATATATACATATTATGTATGTATACATAAATATACCTACACTTTTTGCTATGAATAGTCGTTAACTACTTAAATGCTCATTATCAGTAGTATATTTATACAACCGTACACATGTACACATGGTTTTTAAACTGAAATTTTCACTGTACAAAATATTAAAGAAGAAAAAAAGCTTTCCTTTATAACTGACGGAGTGACTGCCTCAATAGGCTTATTACGTAATCATTCTTTCTTCCTCGTCCCCCTCCTCCTGTTCCTTCTTGTTTTTCCTCTGTCTGTGTTGATACCTAACTGACTGATCACTACTTTTTTGTTTTTAGTTTTAGTAATATATATTTTGAATTGTGCAAAAGAGAATTCATGTATTCTATTTACGTTTTTTTTAAATATATATACTGTAAGTTTATAATATAATATGCATATATACACATATACATATATTAGCAGATTCTGTGTGAGTGTAATTCATTTTTTAGAGGATTATTTTATGCTCTAATGTGATTATCATTATTAATATTATTATTATTAATAATGATGATAATATTCTGTAATTAATATTCCTCATTATTTGTTATTCATTATTTGGAGACTAGTTAATTATTGATTTAATACATGTACTTTGGTTATTTGGTTTTTTTTTAATTTTTCTTTCGATGAATGAATATATATATGTGGGAGGGTGATTTATTTTTTTTGTGTGCTTTAGACGTTATATAGTTGTATAATAACAGAAGACAAGGGCCGGAAACAGATCGTTTTATTACGGAAATCATCACGTATTTATATATATTTCCTGTACATTATTATGGCTTATTCAAGTAGACAAAAGCAGGCTTCTGATTGGTTGTTCCGGGTAACATCGAAAAGTGGAGCCATCTATCTACGAATCATATTTGCCCACGTTGCGTTTGCTGTGATTGGTTGTTGAATCAGCCTTGTTCATATTCTCTCATGGCCAATATTAGTGACCTAGACATTGACGTAAATTGATGTCTACTAATTGGCTAGCAGCCTGCTCTCACCACAGTTGTAATGTGGTAAATGAGGGTCCTGACGTTGAATACGCTCCTATATGAAGTTGGTGACATGGCTTTTAAAGGCTATCTGGGGGTGTTTCTATGGCTCTCACCGTTGTTTGTGGTCACAAAGTGAAGTGAAGATGCCTCATTAACCTGAAGAATAGTACTAAGTGTAGTAGAGAAGCAAGATGAGGAAGGTGATGTGAGTAAAGGAGATTGATGCTTAGGAAAGCTTGGTGTGCTTTTGGAAGTGTGTGTGGGCGGTTGTTACTTCCCGGGTGCCCACATCGTGGACCACACTTACTCCTAGTTTAGAAATAGGGAGTGAAGTGGTAGAGCACATTGATCGCTTCATTTATTTAGGAAGTTGCATCAGCCAATGTGAACGGGTTGATCGCTGACGAAATGTAAGCATGGATACAGAGAACTAGTTTTGCATATGCCAGTTTACGCCATGTCCACCGTGGACGTTTTGTCCGGCTTTCGATCGAAGGTCGTGTGCACTGCTCAGCAGTGCGCTCTACCCTCATTTATGTCTGTGAGACCTAGCCACTGAAAGTGGAAGACATGAAAAGCCTGGCTACCTGTCTACGATCATAGATGTCTGCGTTCTGTCTCCGATGTGAAGTGGTATAATAGGGTGAGCAATATTGAGGTTAAGCTTCTGTTGAGTGCTAGGCGAGGAGTGGAAATCAGTCGGTAAGGTTGTGAAGTTACATCGATTGAGGTGTTTAGAACATGTGTTACGCATGCCTAGCCGTTGATGGTCTTCCTCGATGGGCAATATTAGCTGACTTAGGATCAGGTTGAAAAAGAGCCAGTGATGGTTAAACCAAAAGATGGCTTTGTCAGTCAATGAAATTCACAACAGTTAGTTCAAGCCACGCAGGAAAGTGTAGACTTCCTAACTGGTTGGGGTCCTCAGGATGGTGAAAACTAATGAAATCTAGAGACGATTTGTGATATGGCTTAAAATCGTTCTCACTGGCTGGCATAGACGCATCCACTCCCTGTGACTTATGATTTCCAATGAAACTATATTGTTCTTCGTTATTTCTATTCCTTTGTCTCAATCCTCTGTTTACTGTCTCTGTTATGCATTTCTTCTACTTTCTTCTGTTGCTTTGTGTGCTACATGTAGGGAGTATGGCGACTTGAACTTTTGCACATCGGTGCAAAGTTCTATGTCGACAACAGAAAGACAATGTGGTACATGATACAGATTGATAGAAAGTCTTAACGTTTGGCATCGTTGGCTTCGAACAATGAAGATCCTGTGATTTGAGGCATTTGAAGTAGAAGAAGAAAAAGAAGGAGATATACGGAGCTTTCGCTGAGTTGGTAGGCATTAGGTATCTGATGACAAGGCGTTGGTGGCACAGTGGTAGGATGCTCACCAACCACGCCTCATGTGGTCCGAGGTTTGGTCGCCGGCCACAGATGTACTCCTTCACCTCGCTAAGCTGGTAAAGAGGCTAAGAGTGGTAAAGAGGGAAGGTTGGGGATGAGGCTAGCAGCCCCACCGCTTAAAAATAAACACCACTGCTACGGAAACTTCAGCCGGCTAGCTCGAATCCTCAAGTTCCACTGGGAATGTAAAGGAATAAAAAAAAATCTGATGGCAAAGACATTTGTGTTGGGGACTCTGCTGTGAGGTTGAAAAAATGCGGTATAAGACAGTGTGGAGCGAGGAGACCTGGGATGGACAATACACTGTCACCGTGGGATGTGGTTCAGTGTATATGTATCTGATAAGGAGACAGACAGAAACGTATTAATGCTAGCCAACTCCAGAGATGCAGATAGTGGGATAAGCAGGCTTATAACAGGATGCAGGAAGAGTGGGTAACACCATAGGATCATAGCGGTTCTACTTGAAACTATTTGACGATAGGGAACAAGTCTGGCGTGATATGAATTGGTTGGAAGTGACCGAAATTGAAATCAACATTTAAAGTCTGTTCCTAATTATCTAATCTTCCGCCGGGCTGGGTTTCGATCAGGTCGTGGATGCATTGATCATGTGTTCATCCCTCGTCAGTTGTTGGAACACTGACACAAGTATTTCAAAGCCTCCTTCAATTTGTTGGACAGAACCGTGCTCTGGAACTGTCATTTAGAGAGGGTGTACCTGAGGAGTTTGTTAA